CCCCACTTTCCTCCAGTGCCCTCTGCAGGACTGGTCAGGTTGTTCAGGTTCCACAGGTGGGTATATTGACAACCCCCAGAGTGAAGGGGCCTGTCTGGGTTAATATTCACTTACCTCTGTCAGACAGTCAGGTTTTAAAAAGAACCTGCATATTTATCATGAGTTGTGATATTTTTAAGTTGCAAAATATATTTACATGCATTTTTATGTGAACAGTTTCTATTATAGTTTACATCAGTTAACTCACAGTTAAAATTACCTTATAAAGGGAAAACTTAAGAAACTTGCACTAAAAGCATGTTTCATGTCCAGAAATTTGTGCCATTTCCTTCTGTGTGTGTGTGCGTGTGTGTGTTATTTGTTTGTTTTTTGTTTTGTTTGTTTTTTCTGTCATGGTGGTTTTCTTGGAAATACCTTCATTTGGGGGTTTCAATTTTCGGTATGTTCTCCCGTCCCTTCCTGGTAAGATCACTTAGTGTCTGTCATCGCACCGACATCTCACAGCAGCCCATGAGGAAGGTGCCAGGAGTGCTGGTCCCATTTTGCAGATGAGGAAAGAGGCTCAGAGGTGGTGCTTCGCTCATGACTCTTTTCATATGTCTTCCTTGCCTGATGGACAATTTGGGAAGTGGCCTCAATTGAGGGCAGGGGACCCTAGGACATGGGTTCCTGATCAAGAAACTGGGATCTAACTTAGGGTCTTGGATGTGATTCTGGACACCCTCGCCCACTCCCAGAGCCCACCATGGTCAGGGTGAAGCCATGTTCCTGCAATGAGCATGGGCTGGCTTTCTTGGGCCATGCTCATTGAGGAGCCCTAAAAATCTTGGTGTCCCACTTTTGCCACCCCTTTCTCTTCCTTGGGATTCTTGTCTGGGGACTCTGCCTGGTCAACAGGAATGCTGCCCCAGCACAGCCCTGCAGTGGCTTCCAGAAGCCCTGGGCAGGAGCAGGGCTGGTGGGGCCCTCGTGGGTTGGCCTAATGTCTGGGAGTGGGTTGGGAGCAGGATTCCAGGACAGGAAGTAGCCCTACCTTCAGAGGGGCTGAGCACAGGCAGGTCCTCTGTGCTCATTGTCCTCTACCCTTCCCAGGCTCCAGACTGGCTGCCTGCCAGTTAGCTTGTCCCTTCACAGCACCCTCTCCTCCCCCACCCAGGACAGCGGGTACTGTTTGAGGGGTGGAGGCCTGCTCTCCTGTGGAGGCAAGTTCTAAGCTGGTCCTGAGCAGCATTGCCTTTTGTTGCTATCTAGTGGTACAGCTCCCAGAGTGCTTGGGGTCAGTTCTGTGGCTCAGATGAGGAACCTGAGGCTCTTAAAGAGAAAGTGACTGCCATTGCTTATATATGCAGAAGATATTTGCTCTTCAGGTCTGCATGCCCTGGGCACTGGGCTTTGAGTAACTGCTGGCCTATAGTCTTTATGGTCTCAGGCAAGGAGCCTGTCCCTGGGCCAAGAGAGGAAAGAAGGGAGCATCTCCCTATTTGATCATCAAGCAAATTCAGTGCTTAGAGCCCCTACCGCCAGGCTGTGAGCACTTCCTTCTGCATAAAGACCACAACAGAAAACAATCCAAGGTTGGGGCAGTCAGGGTAGATTAAGGCTGACTATCCCATGTGGCTCTTGGTGTAGCAGTCTGTCTGCATGTGAAGGGTTTTTGGCAGGCCCATCCCACTACAACCTTCCTTTTATCCATGGCTTACCAGAAAGGAGAGCCGACGTGTCTAAGGCCCAAGCTATGAGCTTGGCTTGAAACTTGGTCTTTGTGATTTCAGATCTGTTAGCCTCCCATTCTGGCACCCCACCCTATGAGAGGCGGTGGTGTGCACATGCCTCAGACTGTTGGTGCGTGTGCAGGTGGGGTGCTGTGGCTGCCGCAGGCTCAGGAAGCAGCTTCTGGCCTAGGCCACGTCTGAATGCACTGATCTGAACTTAGAGCCCTTGTTCTGACAGAGATACCGGTCTCCCTCCCATCTCCAGCCTAGCAGGGACCTCTGCGTGTCTTTGGCTTTTCTTTTCCCTCATGTTTCCCTGAGCGTGTTCTCCTTTGGTTCTGAGTGGGTATGAATGCTGGGTTATGGGTCTCTGGGAACAGGGTGCTGCTGCTCTCCTGCTCCTCTAAGCAGTTCCCCTCCTGACCCCTGTTAGGGTCTCTCTTCCTATCCTTCCTGTCCCACTGCAGGTGTGACCCAGACTGACTGTGGTCCGAGCCCCCAGTCCCCCCAAGTAGGGCCAAGGCTGTGTCCGACCCAGGGAGTCTCCTCTAATGATGATAGTCCCTGGGGGACCAGACCTGGTTCTCTCAAGAAAGGGGACCCAGCTCTATTTGTTCTGGGAGGCAGAAGGAAGGGAGACACGAGATCGCACAGGATGTGGCTTTGAAGAACCTAGAAGGGTGCCTCACTCTAGTGTTGTGTCCTTTCAGCCTGCTCTTGGCTTGATGGCCTTGGAGGGCATCAGACTGGCACTTCCTTATGAGGGAAGTACGAGGGACCAGATGTGCCAACAGGAGCTTGGGAGACTTGGACGCCTGGCCTGGAGCTGCTCTGTGCCTACCTGTCTTGGGTGAGAGCCTGTTCTGCCTCCAGTCTGGTCTCAATGGAAGTGAGCCCAGGAGCACAGGGCATGGCTGGGGTTCACTCAGGGCTACCGTCCGTCAGTGTGTTGTGCACATGTGCATGCGTATGGGGTGGCTGTGTGTAGCCCAGCAGTAGGCTTCGTACTGACCTCCCAGCTGTCACGCTGTGACTACTTCTACGTACTGAAGGGAGAGGCTGAGAGGAAGGGCCCAGGTATGCACCACAAAGGCCTTGTCCTACATGCATTTGTGTGTGTGAGGTTGTGTGCCTCTGTCAGAGATGTGGGAGGATGACAGCAGCTTTGCACCGGAAAAGCATGCTGGTTTCTATTTCAAAGGGCAGAATTTGTGGTGGTTCTGCAGTTTCTCATCTGGGCATTTCCCCTGTTCAGCTCCTCCTTCCATCCCTGGAAACTCTGTCTTTCTGGGCTGGGTCTTTGTGACTCAATTTTCCCCCTTCCTGTTTCTACCTGAGTATGACTCCTAATTAAAAAAAACAACCTACCCCCATTGCCCCTCCCCCCACCTGTGTGACTATCTTTTTCATTTGTTCACTTGGTCATTGAGCAAGCACTGCCTGGCCTACGGGGAGATGAGGCGTGTATATGCATAGTGCCATTGGGGGTCAAGGGTATGGCCACTGCATGAAGGCGTTTCCAAGTTGGGTCTTGGTAGAATTGGAGTCTGGGAGGGAGACAGTCCCAGGCTAGGAACCAAGATGAAATGGGGGACAGGAAGGTGCTGGCTGTTCTTGCCATTGGCCCAGCTTATTTTGGATGGAGTAGAGAAGATGGGAGGACAGAAGCTGGGGGTAGTAAATCATTGAGCCCCATCATGAAGGGCCTTAAAGGCCAGAAAAGAAGCATGTTCTCCTTAGTGAGCAACCTGGGGAGGGACCAGAGAACAATGTTCTGTAAAGATTCTGAAGACTCAGGAAGGATGGCTCATTGGTGAGAACTGGGGGCAGGGCAGCCAGCAGGAAAGTCAGGGCTTTCAGCTTTAGAACCAGGCCCGAGGGCTTGCTGAAGACATGGAGCGGGCCGGTAGAACCAGTAATGTGTGGAGGGGGAGCTGGGGTTGGGGTCAGAAGCCTTGCCATACTGTTCAAGGTGGGATGGATGTATCCCAGCTGTGGCTAGAGGGACAGGGAAAGAGCCTGGGGATTTGGCCGCTTGGGACATTCCAGCCGGGTGGTGTGCAGTTTGGGCTGGGAGGGCTCCTGGGGCGGAGGCCAGCCAGGCAGCCTGTTGGCACTGCTCCTGGCCCCACATCTTCCAGGCCTGTCTGGGCTGAGCGCATTTGGAGAGAGGGGCTCTAAGGGAGTCCTCAGAGAGGGTTGTCTCTGATGGCTAAGCCAAGCTTCTTTCATTTGATCTGATCCTCCCTAAGTCCCTTTATCTGGCCTGGTAAGTCTGCTTTCTGTCTAGGATCCCAGCTAACACCAGGGGTGAGTGTGGCTGGGCAGCCTTCTCCAGGCCTGGGTGCCTGAGCCAACTTTGGTGAAGGAGTGGGTACTGGATGATCTCCTGCCACGTTCCCTCAGGGCTGGGTACTTTGGCTCTCAGGACTTTTGATCTTATCATCATCCTCATGATGCCGTTATTGGTTACTGTGTTCCCAACGTAGCAGCAGTGGGGTCAGAGCAGTTGTCACTCTGCTGAGGTCACACAGCTAATATGACCTGAGCTGGGTTCCAGCCAAGAGCCCATGAATGGTTTTCTACCACCCTGCCTTCTAGAGAAGCATAATCTAGCCTTTCTTTATACATGGTGAAACCGAAACTGAAAGTCAGACGAGTCACTCAGCATCATCTCTGGAGTTAGCAGCGAGGCAGGTGTCTGCCATTCAGGCCTGTGCTCCCCATCTGTGTTAGGGTAGGGGGCGTGCGCAGGTTTGATAGCCAGGATAGGAAACACCCCATGGACAGCTGCTGCTTTGGGGGACAAGGCCTCTTGCTGACGCTTGTGGGTGACTTCAGAGGGTCAGCCATTTCAGGACTGTACCAGTTCTTTGGGCCTGATCCTGCCCAGCCCCTCCCTCCCCAAGGGACTGTCAATTGCAATTTGGTTTGTGTACTTTGTGTAAGGAAATGGTCCTCACAGAACAGCCTGTTTCTCTTTCTAGGTTCCAGCTTTTTTTCAGGTCAGAGTAACCTGCTGTATTCTCAGCAGGGGAAAGGTACACAAGACTGAGCTCCCTCTCCCTCTCCCCAGACAGCTTGCTCAGACCTCTCGGGTTTGAACAGAGGTATGCTTAGGTGCACCTCAGCTCTCTCTTGTCACCCAGCTGTCTGCCCTCCAGGAGGGGAGTCTCTCTGTGGTCCCTCCCTGAAGGAGAGTATGGTATTGAGGAAACCAAGTTGCCCTTGTTTCAGTGCTGTTTCAGGGACCCCAGCCTGACCTTGACCTCTTCTCTACCTTCCTAGTTGACATTCGAGAAATCAAGGAGATCCGCCCAGGGAAGACTTCACGGGACTTTGATCGCTATCAAGAGGACCCTGCTTTCCGACCAGACCAGTCACATTGCTTTGTCATCCTGTATGGGATGGAATTCCGCCTGAAGACCCTGAGTCTGCAAGGTGGGAGTCAAGGGGCTGGTGGAGGCAGGGGAATAGTTAAGGGGAATGTCCCCTGGTCTCTGGCTCCGTGGGTGGTGTGTCCTCACAGTTCAGCTGTTCACCCTTCACTCACAGCTACATCTGAGGATGAAGTGAACATGTGGATCAAGGGCTTGACTTGGCTGATGGAGGACACATTGCAGGCAGCCACACCCCTGCAGATTGAGAGGTAAGAACAACCCCTGACCCTGTAGTTAGAGTTGGGGGGTGTTGGGATCTAGGGAGCAGGGCAGGGACAACATGCTGATCTCCCTGGGCTTGGGCCTGGCCCTGGCTGGAAAAGTGGCCCTCACTGCAGGCTTTTCCCTCCAGGTGGCTGCGGAAGCAGTTCTACTCGGTGGATCGGAATCGTGAGGATCGGTAGGTTCTAAGCTGTGGCTCTAGCCCAGCAGGGTGAGCTGGGGCACCCATAACAGTAACCATGCCTCAGGGTAGCTGCCTGAAGAACCAACAGACTCAGGGGACCTATTTCTGAGGGACTTGGGGTGACAGGTGGTTCTGGCACAAGTAGCTTCCTGCAGAAAGCCCTCTGGTGGCCATGGTGCAAGCTGGCAAGAGAGGCCAGGGACAAGAAGCCATGTGCCCTGCCGCTTTATTCAGAGACAGGAAGTGCAGAACTTGCTCTGGGCGCCTGGAAAGAAGCCAGGCAGCTTGTAATGTGTGCAGGGGGTGCTTTGAAGCTATAATGTGATAGCCAGAGGGGCCAAGGAGAGATGGGGGACAAAGACCAGGTCATGACTTTCTGTGAGAGAGACAGGAAGCCAGGGAGGGTTTGGAAGAGAGCCACTACCTGACTTCACTTACACAGGCTTGCTGGCTGCTAGTGGAGAGTCCAGGGCAGCAACTCCAGCACTGTGGGTGAAAGATCGGGGGAGGGCTTGGGTCAGGGCAGAGGTGGGTGTGAGAAAAAGAGAGTCGAGGGTGACAGCTTTTTGGCCTGAGAATCTGGAAAGGCAGAGCTGCCCTTGACAGATGGGAAGCCTGGGAGGAGCAATCTGGGGGCTTACCAGTTCATTTGGGGTGTGTTAAAATTTCATGATGCCCTTAGATGTTCAGGTAGAGACATTAGTAGGTAAGTGGGCAGATTGAGTGTAGGGAAGAAGTTGGGGTGGAGATGTTAACCTGTGGAGCATTTAGATGATAGGAAGGCCATGAGGCTAGAATCACCTGGGGATAAGCGTAACAAGAAAAGGGAAAAGGGCCAGTGGCTGATCCGGGCTGCTTGGATGTTGGGGATTGGAGAGGTAATGAGGAACTTGCCAAGCGATGTAGCAGCTCGTGAGGTAAGGGGGGGGGGGGGGGGCACTGTTCTGGAAGCCCAGGGAGAGGGAGCAGTCAGCTGTGCAGGCCTTCAGGTGTGGTGAAGATGGAGAGGTGCCCCTTGGACTTCATAGCACAGAGGTTGTGGTGACCTTGAGACAGGCAGTGGAGAGGGTTCAGGGAATGGATGGCTCCTTCAAGGCATTGCTGTGAAGGGGAGCAGACAAGGGGGTGGGCAGTAGCTAGAGAGGTACACAGGGGCAAGACAGGTTTTGGGTGAGAGAGAGAGAACAGCCTGTTTGCAATGCTGATGGCAGAGTCCATGGAGCGAATGTGGAGTCATGCAGCAAGTTTCTTACCTGTGAAGTGACGGCCTACCTCCTGCTGACAGGGTCAGACAGCTGGCATCTGGACAGAGCCAGTGCTTCTGAACAGCACTTGCTGGTAGCAGGCCGACCCCTCATACAGAGCAGGATCCGCTCGGGAGTTTGGGTGCTGACTGCCAGGCTCTTGAGCAGGAAGAGGAGTGTTTCCCATCCTCCCCTCCCTGATACCACCTCCCAGGAGAGAAAGCCTTTCCCCCATCTTCTCCATCCTGTTGCTAGGCCCAGCAGTGTCCTCTAGCCCAGCCGTGGGCAAACTACGGCCTGCGAGCCGGATTCGGCCCGTTTGAAATGAATAAAACTAAAAAAAAAAAAAAAGACCGTACCCTTTTATGTAATGATGTTTACTTTGAATTTATATTAGTTCACACAAACACTCCATCCATGCTTTTGTTCCGGCCCTCCGGTCCAGTTTAAGAACCCATTGGGGCCCTCGAGTCAAAAAGTTTGCCCACCCCTGGGCTAGCCCCACATTCTGGCAGGGCACCCGTGGAGGGCAGGGAATGCTTCCCATCAGGCCTAGGAGGGTGCCCAGTCACCGGCAGTGGTATTTGACTGAGTGACCTCACTTTGTCCCCCCAGTGCCTGTGCAGAGGCCCAAACTCCCAGCATCCCTGGGGTGGTGGTGGAGGCACTGCTGAATTCCCCCTCAGAGGCAGTGGTAGGTGGGCCCTGCATGAGCTGGACCTGCAGCATCTGGCTGCTCTCCTCCGTCCAGATGGGAGCCAGAGAGCTGGGTGCCAGAGGTTCGGGCTGGATCAGGGCTGGTGGGAGGAGGCCTCACTTTACTGAGACTGGTCACTCCTTCCTTGCCAGAACCCTGGGCTTTTCTTTACTCAGATGAGGAAACCAAACAGAGAAAGGGCTCTGATCCAGCCTCATCCTCAGGACTTCAAGTCTCAGAGTAGTGCTGTTTACCTGTCTAGTCCCAGGCGGACTCAGCCTACAGGTCAGAGGTCATGAGAGGTTGGGTGAGGCCACTGGAGATGTTCATGTTTCTTCAGTATATCAGCCAAGGACCTGAAGAATATGCTGTCCCAGGTCAACTACCGGGTCCCCAACATGCGCTCCCTCCGAGAGCGTCTGACGGTAAGGGCCTCCTGGTCTATCTGCGGTAGGTGAGCGGGGAGGCCGGGAGCCCATGGCCGGTGGGGCTGACCAGAATCCTGCGGTATACCTTGCAGGACCTGGAGCTGCGCAGCAGCGATATCACCTATGGGCAGTTTGCTCAGGTGTACCGCAGCCTCATGTACAGCGACCAGAAGACGGTGCATGAAGCTACCTGCCCTCCCACGGCCCTTGCCCCTGCTCTCCTGCCCCAGCCCTGCTTGCGTCAGCCCTGCTGCCCTGCTTGGGGGCTTTTGGGTGCCATTTCTCCAGCTCTTCTCCTCCTGAGGCCTACCCCCATCTGTCACCCCAGCCTTACTTTCTGAGAGCCCCTTTCCCACATGGCCTCCCAGGGCTCCCGCTCTGACCAGGTTCTGTCTCCTGCAGATGGACCTCCCCTTCTTGGAAGCCTGCGCCCCAAGGTTTGGTTTGAAATGGGGAGGTGGGGTTCCTTATGCAAACGGAAGGTAGTGGGAGGGGGTGAGCCCATATTGGATCATTCTTGGCAAATGTGCTGGCTGGGAGCTGGGCTCTGCCTTCCAAGGTGCCCCTTATTGTCTGTGGACCATGTGAGCCAGCTGGCCGCCAGGCATTTCCCTTCTCTCCTGCAGGGCAGGGGAGCGGCCAGAGCTCTGCCGAATGTCCCTTCCGGAGTTCCAGCAATTCCTCCTCGAGTACCAGGCGGTATGCTGGGCTGGGCTAGGACTGGGCCAGGGTTCTCGGCTGAGGGCGGCTGGGCTCATCACTGACTGGAGCCTCTCATGTGCCCCCACCCTGCCCACCCCCATCAGGAGCTGTGGGCTGTCGACCGACTCCAGGTGCAGGAGTTCATGCTCGACTTCCTCCGAGACCCCTTGAGAGAGATTGAGGAGCCATACTTCTCCCTGGATGAGGTGAGGCCTGCTTTTTACCCCTCTGTCCGAGAGATGGGTCAGGCTGACCAGGACCCCACCAGGTTTCCAGGAGCTGATTTGCCTTAGGGGTGCCACCTTGCCCACCCCACTTAAGAATGAGCACCCTCCCTCCTTCCCCTGCCAGTGGGCTAAGCCTGGGGCTCAGTTCTCTTCCCTTCCCCTCCCCATGTGTTCCTGGACAGTTTGTCACCTTCCTGTTCTCTAAGGAGAACAGTGTGTGGAACTCGCAGCTGGATGTGGTGTGCCCGGACACCATGAACAACCCTCTCTCCCACTACTGGATCTCCTCCTCGCACAACACGTGAGCGGCGCCCTTGGCCCCACCCAGCCTGACCTGGGGAGGGAGGGACTCACCTAAACACCCTGCCTTTCCTTCCTCATCTAGGTACCTGACCGGGGACCAGTTCTCCAGCGAGTCCTCCCTGGAAGCCTATGCTCGCTGCCTGCGCATGGGCTGCCGCTGTATTGAGTGTGCGTTGGGGCCAGGGCTGGGGGAGGAGGATGGGAGACCTGTCCCCTTGACCGTACTCATGTTGTTCCCCAGTGGACTGCTGGGACGGCCCAGACGGGATGCCAGTCATTTACCATGGACACACCCTTACGACCAAGATCAAGTTCTCAGACGTCCTGCACACCATCAAGGAGCATGCCTTCGTGGCCTCAGAGTGAGTGTGGGTAGGGACCCTGGCTCGGCTGGGCTCCAGCTCTCTCCTATGGCAAAAGGGAGAGGGCCCCCTCAGAGGTCCTGTCCCCATTCCACCTGCCTTTCATCTTCATCCTTCCTCTCCTGCTGCTTGCGCGAGCCATTGCTTCCCACAGAACTCCCCGTTTCCTGCATCCTTGTTTCCCCTTTTGTGGGTCCTTCTCCTTAGGTTGTGGAACACAGTCAAGCTCTTCCCGTCCTTAAAAAAAAATACTTAACCCTGACCATTGTCCTGCCAGCTCTTCCCTTCACAGCCCAGAAAATTATTTTATCCCGTGTCCCATTCTACAACTCCTATTTACCCTCACCTGTGGTCACTGTGGGACAGGCTCTGGGAGGAGATCAGCAGTGACCAGGGCACTGGTCTCTGCTGCCTCATTGAAGGGATCACCAGGGCCACCCAGTAGCTGAATTTGGACGCTGCTTCTCCTCTTACCTGACCTCTTTGGTGTGGGATCTCTCTCCTGCTGGGGTAGCCTCCACCGTGGAACCAACTCATGGGACTGCAGCAGATCTGAGTCCCCAAGGTGCCCCTTTAGCACCCCTCCACCCTTCCAGTGGCCAGAACCCGCCTCCTCTCTGGGATAGCTCCCTGTAGATGGGACCCCAGGCCCTTGGCTCCTAACACCTCACTGTGAGGGCTGTTTGGACTGAGATTTGACCCTGCAGAGCCGTAGGGTCTGTGTTAGAACGAAGTAGTGGGGATACCACTTCTGGAAGAGTCCGAAGCGGAGCCGTGACAGGGTGGTCCCCTACCCTGCAGGTACCCGGTCATCCTGTCCATCGAGGACCACTGCAGCATTGCTCAGCAGAGGAACATGGCCCAGCACTTCAAGAAGGTGCTCGGGGACACACTCCTCACCAAGCCCGTGGACATTGCTGCCGACGGGCTCCCTTCCCCCAACCAGCTCAAGAGGAAGATCCTTATCAAGGTAGGGAGATGGGCTGGGCGCCTCCTGCTCAGGACCTCTCCATGGTCATTGGTCTGGCTGCTGGTCTGGGGCCTCGGTGAGGCAGTGTGGCTCTGAGACTCTGGCTGGCACTGCCATATCCTGGCCTGCTATCCACAGCACAAGAAGCTGGCTGAGGGCAGTGCCTATGAGGAGGTGCCTTCGTCTGTGATGTACTCTGAGAACGACATCAGCAACTCCATCAAGAATGGCATCCTCTACCTGGAAGACCCTGTGAACCATGTGAGGGCAGAACTGGCTGGGCCAGACTGGGCAGGGTGGGGCAGGTGGTGGGAGCACCCTGTCACGGCCCCACGTCCGTCTCTTCCAGGAGTGGTATCCCCACTACTTTGTTCTGACCAGCAGCAAGATCTACTACTCTGAGGAGACCAGCAGTGACCAGGGCAATGAGGATGAGGAAGAGCCCAAGGAGGTGAGGGGCCAGCCCAGGGCTGGGGGCTGGGCTGGGCTCAGAGTCACTGAGTGTCTTTGCTATTGTCCTCCCCCGTGCAGGCCAGTGGCAGCACCGAGCTGCACTCCAATGAGAAGTGGTTCCATGGGAAGCTTGGGGCAGGACGGGACGGGAGGCACATTGCCGAGCGCCTGCTGACTGAGTACTGCATTGAGACCGGGGCCCCTGATGGCTCCTTCCTAGTGCGCGAGAGCGAGACCTTCGTTGGCGACTACACCCTCTCTTTCTGGTAACCCACTCCCTATGCTTGTGCACATGGGTGCAGCACCACCCTGAGGTAGCTGTGATCCATTTTCTTTCCGTCCAGGCTTTCAGGGGAAACATTTAATCTCACCCACAAGCTTACATACACTTACCCAGTTAGCGGCCTCCCTCCTGCAGGGCTGCCCTGTCCCCCTCTGAGATTTGGTGCCTGTGTGGGACTCGGGCCTGTGCTCACTGCTTCCCCTCTTCCCTCAGGCGGAACGGGAAGGTCCAACACTGCCGGATCCACTCCCGGCAGGATGCTGGGACCCCCAAGTTCTTCTTGACAGACAACCTTGTATTTGACTCACTCTATGACCTCATCACGCACTACCAGCAGGTGCCCCTGCGCTGCAATGAATTTGAGATGCGCCTCTCGGAGCCTGTCCCCCAGACCAATGCCCACGAAAGCAAAGAGTGAGGGCGGGGATGGGGGCGGGTGGGGACCTGAGTGGTGATGGAGGGAAAGGTCCTGACTCAGGCCTGTCCTCAGATGGTACCACGCGAGCCTGACCAGAGCGCAGGCTGAGCACATGCTGATGCGCGTCCCCCGTGACGGGGCCTTCCTGGTGCGGAAACGGAATGAGCCCAACTCCTACGCCATCTCCTTCCGGTGAGGCGTGTGGCCTGGGATGCTGGAGGTGGTGCTGGCCTGCAGCTGGTCCCCTGTGTGACTGTTCTGTCCTTGTCAAGGGCTGAAGGCAAGATCAAGCATTGCCGTGTCCAGCAGGAGGGCCAGACAGTGATGCTGGGCAACTCGGAGTTTGACAGCCTTGTCGACCTCATCAGTTACTACGAGAAGCATCCACTGTATCGAAAGATGAAGCTGCGCTATCCCATCAATGAGGAGGCACTGGAGAAGATAGGCACAGCTGTGAGGACTGGTTGAGGGGTACAGCAGGCGGGAGAGACCAGCATGACCCTCCTGGGCTCGCTGCTGGGAGGCCCAGAATCTACCAGTCGGGATAATCCAGATGTGTGGGGCGGGACTGGGCACAAGTTAGGAAGATGAGGTGGGGGACAGCCATTCAAGCAGTGGTCCCTGTGGGCCAAGGGGTCCTGGAATCCACACGTGGAGAGGATGGGCCCGAGGATGGGGGCTTATCCAGACGGGTGTGGACTAGAGTGTTCCTGGGGCAGGAGAGAGTAGGCTACAGAAGTGGATCATGGAGAACAGAGCTCCAGGGGGAGGAGACTGGTGAAAAGGCAGGACAGTGAGGGTTCTGGACCAGGGTCTCGATAAAAGGAAGGAGTCTGGGACGGAAGAGCCACTTGAGACTCTTGTCATCAGTGACGCAGATGGCATGGCCAGGGAGAAGACTGCCATCCACTGGAGCTGGGGTGGTGGAAAGGAGTGTGCTGGGGGCCAGGCTCAGCGGAGTGAGTGAGTGAACTGCCAAACAGAGCTCCGCTGCAGTGAGCTTGCTAATGGGGTGGGTCTCAAGCTAAGAATGTGGAGAGAGGAAGGGGTGAGGCCATGCCCACTGAGGTAGGAAGACCAGGCACCAGTGAAGAGGGCAGACTTAGTGACCAGCTGCCCTAGGAAAGGGGCATGTGGCAGCCAGCACCCCTTTCGTCTCTGGGTGTTAACATGTCCCCATTCTGTCCCCTTTCTAGGAGCCTGACTATGGGGCCTTGTATGAGGGACGCAACCCTGGCTTTTATGTGGAGGCAAACCCTATGCCGACTTTTAAGGTACAGCCTTGGGCCTGTGGCCACAGGAAGCTGGGGAGAGTCCCCAACTGCTTAGGGCTTACATTTCTCTGCTCAGGGCCCATCTGTGGTCTTTGTGGAGAAGTGGTATTTGTGGTTTTCTGAGGCCTGAGAGGTTATGAGAAATGTGTGGTTGGTGTGTGGCCGCAGCTCTCTCAGGGCCAACCCCTCCCAGCCCCTGTCCCTGGGGGTCGGCACTGACCCTGTAGACTGTTCCCCGGGGTAACCCTGGTTTCCTCCTTGGCAGCAGTGGGGGGAAGGGGAGCACACTTGTCAGAAAACTTTGTTTTTGCTACTCTGGAGAACAGAGCTCCAGGGGGAGCGCTCACCTCGTGGTGATCTTTCAGACAGGATCTTCCCTTCCCCACCCCCACCCCCTTTTCCTCAGCAGCCAGGGAGCCTGGGAGAAGGTTCCTTTTTATTTTCAGATGAGGAATGATGGGGTCCCAGGGGCCCAGGCAGGGGCCTGCAAGGTTTCACCTGGACCCTGAGGAGCTTCCCTGGTAAAGGTGTGGCTCTGTCCCCAGTGACATGTGTCCTGGAGTCTCCTGCAGGGCAGTGTTGAGGGCTGTAACTAGGCAGGCTGCTGCCTGAGCCCCAGCTGGGAAGCCCAGGCGCTAGTGTGTGCACGTGAGGCTGCAGTCGGGAGAGTGGCGGACAGGGACTGTGCTCTCACCACTGCTTCTTTCCGTGCAGTGTGCAGTCAAAGCCCTCTTTGACTACAAGGCCCAGAGAGACGACGAGCTGACTTTCACCAAGAGCGCCATCATCCAGAATGTGGAGAAGCAGGACGGAGGCTGGTGAGCTGGGTCCCTGGGCTGGAGAGCCCTACAAAGGATGACCCCCCTCGTGGGAGTTTGGGGTGATTGCTGGGGGTCAGCAGCCTGTGGTTTCCACAGGTGGCGGGGAGACTATGGTGGGAAGAAGCAACTCTGGTTCCCGTCAAACTACGTGGAGGAGATGGTCAGCCCAGCAGTCCTGGAGCCTGAGAGGGAGGTGAGGCTAGAACTGCTGGCAGAACAGGAGTCCCACCACCAGCTCCCCTCTGCACACACTCATCACACAGTCAGGTGTGCCTGCGCATGCACAGCCACCCCACATGTGTGGTCATCACAGCTGTGGTGTCCATGGTCTCCAACATATACGTGCCACATCTGTTTAATCATGTGCACACTTATAAGATGTATTTGTCGTATGCAACAGACATCCCCTCACACGCATGTATACAGGAGGCCTGCTGACGAACCTGTGGGCTTTGCTTCCCACAGCACTTGGACGAGAACAGCCCCCTGGGGGACTTGCTGCGGGGAGTCTTGGATGTTCCAGCTTGTCAGATTGGTGAGCCCCATCCTCTTCTCTCACCCACTGTTCCTCAGTGTCAGGCCCTTGTGTGTGCCACCATGCTCCAAGTGAGTGGGGGGGCTGGTGGTGGCCCCAAAGGCTGCCCTCACTCTGAGTTCTTCCCATACTTAGACACCCCCTTGACACCACCCAGGCTCCTTTCTGCATGCTCACCCTGGGCCAGGCACAGCAGCTCATGCTGACATCCACAGTCCCAGTGGGTTGAGTCACAGGGTTTGACAGATGGTTGGGGCGGGTCCCAGGATCCAGATTTGAGGCCTATATCAGACAGACCAGGTTCAAGCCCTGGCCTCCCCACTCCTGGCAGTGCAAACAGGCCTGGCAGTGTAGCGCTGCCTCCCTCCAAGTGTTGGGAGGAAGAAAGGTGATGAGAAAACTTGAGGAAGGCACCGAAAGTATCTGACCATGCTCTTCTCTTTGCTCCCCCAGCCATCCGTCCTGAGGGCAAGAACAATCGGCCATTCGTCTTCTCCATCAGTATGGCATCGGTGGCGCAGTGGTCCCTGGATGTTGCTGCCGACTCACAGGAGGAGCTGCAGGACTGGGTGAAAAAGATCCGTGAAGTGGCCCAGACCGCAGATGCCAGGGTGAGTGCCTGCCGGAGTCTGCGGGGTGCTGGGTGGGCAGCATGTGAGCCTCTAGGCAAGGATATGGAGGAAACCCACATGAGCTAGCGATGTGGCCTGTTAGGGTGTGTTGAGATACGTGAGGCCATCCAGGTGGGTCTTCTCAGTGGGGCAATTGGATACACAGGGCAGAGGTTAGAGGAGAAGTCTTGGGCTGGAAGCAGGTGTGGGTGCTCAGGAGGCATGAGGACCGGAAAGGAGGAAGAGGAGCCTGGGAAGGACAGGGCTGTGGAGTCACGCACAGGCATGGTAAGAATCTGAAAGTACCCGTTGGGTTTGGCAGCAGAAAATGGCCTTGGTGACACTAACAAGAGCCATGTCAGTGTCAGGGCTGGTACTGGATGGCAGTGGCCAGGCTCTCTAGGATCTGGCTATAGAAGAGAGCAGAGGGCTGAGATTTGGGTGGGCATTAATGCCAACAGCTCAGGAGCCAGCGGGATGAAGCCCGAGCTTGGCTGGAAGATCAGCCTTCTGGGGGAACAGAGAGAAGGAAGTACTCGCAAGGATAAAGGAGTTACTACTTGGTGACCATTTGCCCTAGTCATTTAGGGTGGAGTAGAGTGGCCTTAAAACAGATTCGTGAGCTGAGCTGAACATAGTGGGGATGGGTCTGAGGATTGTGCCAAAAGTGTAGCCTGGGATAAGGTACTGGCAGGTGGTTGGAAGGATGGATCCCAGGGTCTAGGCTGAAAGGGGAAGAAAGAGGCTATGAGTATATGAGCCCCTGGTGGAAGTGGACCTCCAGGGGTAAGAGGACAGGATGGGGGCTCTCAGGAGTGGGCTTCTGTCGCCAAAATGTGGCTGTGGCAGTAGATGTTGCGTTGGACGGGGGGAGCTGAGGCAATAAGGCTCAGGGTGGTGGAAGGATGGTCCTTGGGGTACAGAAGACCAAGCCAGAGGCCCAAGTTCCCAGTGAAGTCACAGGGAACCAGGAGGTGATGACCCTTTGGCCTGAGAAAAGCTAGGTAACAGATGGTGACAAAGCATCCTTGGGTAGTGCAGCCAACCCGGACCCCACCCTCTCCTCAGGCAGAGAGGAGGAAGGACAGTTCTGGGTTGAGGCCGAAATAGAGGGCTCTGTGTGTGGTCCAGTGGGGTCTGGAAGGTGCAGGGGACCTACCGTGTGGACTGCCCAAGGCTGGCAGGGGCTGCTTTCTTCTCGGTGGGGCTCTGCCTGGAGCTACAGCGCCCTCGTGTGTGCCACCAGCTCACTGAGGGGAAGATGATGGAGCGGAGGAAGAAGATCGCCCTTGAACTGTCCGAGCTTGTCGTCTACTGCCGACCTGTTCCCTTCGATGAAGAGAGTAAGGGCCGAGGCGCAGCGGGGTGCTCTCCATGGGGGGTGCAGGAGGAGTGTTTAGTCCCTTTATGCAGGGATTGGGTGCTGGCCCCCCCAACTATGCCTGGGTGGGCAGGCTCTGTAAGTGTCCTCCCTGTTTGGCCCAGAGATTGGCACAGAACGTGCCTGCTACCGGGACATGTCGTCCTTCCCGGAAACCAAGGCGGAGAAGTATGTGAACAAGGCCAAAGGCAAGAAGTTCCTGCAGTACAACCGGCTGCAGCTCTCCCGCATCTACCCCAAAGGCCAGCGGCTAGACTCCTCCAATTATGACCCCTTGCCCATGTGGATCTGTGGCAGTCAGCTGGTGGCCCTCAACTTCCAGACCCCAGGTGAGGAGGTGCTGTGGGGTGGGGAGGAGCACCCCGGGCAGTGGGGCTGGAGGTCACTCACCTGGCTCTTGCAGACAAGCCCATGCAGATGAACCAGGCCCTCTTCATGACCGGCGGGCACTGCGGCTACGTGCTGCAGCCCAGCACCATGCGGGACGAGGCCTTCGACCCCTTTGACAAGAGCAGCCTCCGAGGGCTGGAGCCACGCGCCATCTGCATCGAGGTGGGCTTCTGAGTGGGAACGGGGCTGCTCCACTGGGCTCGTTTCAGGAGTCAAAGATGGGATGCTGGTTAACAAGACGGGACGGGCACTGCTCTGTTGTTGAGCTTGAGGAAGACATAACTGTCCTCTGAGGTGGAAAGGCAGGTAGTAGTCTCAGCAGCAGGGCTGGCTCTTGACTAAGGAGTCAGGCTGCTCCTGAAGCCAAGCCAAGGGTAACCACAGTCTGGAAGTAGAAGGGCAGGAAGCTAGTGCCAGTGGTGAACCAGGGGCGCGGTGCTCAGGAGAGCGACTCGCCCCAGGCCCAGGCTCGCATGCTTTTGTAGCAGTTCTTGAACAACCCTGCTGCCCTGCTGATGTGGGGTTCAGGGTGCTTGGGGCCTGAGCAGAGTCTTGGAGGAAGAGTGAGGAGAGTATGGAGTGAGCATCTGCTTCTGAGAGAAGAGATTCCTTTTTCCCCTAGAGGTAATTTGAAAGATTTCTATGTTAAAACAGACATGGATTTAATGTGAAGTAGATTGCAAAAACTCACATGAAAATTTTGGTTAAAGCTAAGACATCTTCAAATGAAGGTTTGCTGTCAGCAGCTACTCCTAGGGACTTAAGGGGCAGTGTCCTGGGGGCCCAGCAGAGGGCGCACTGCCTTCACTGCATGGTGGGGACTTGGAGGGAGCAGGAAGGACAATCCCAGGCCCATCTTTGCCTGCCTTACAGGTGCTGGGCGCCCGGCATCTACCAAAGAATGGCCGAGGCATTGTGTGTCCCTTTGTGGAGATTGAGGTTGCTGGAGCTGAGTATGACAACAACAAGCAGAAGACAGAGTTTGTGGGTGAGCCTTCCTTCCCCACTCCTCCCCTCTGCACCAGCGGCCCTATCCTCTTGAGGTGATGGCTTAAGGCCTTTTATCCTTGCTTTCGCAGTGGACAATGGCCTCAACCCCGTGTGGCCGGCCAAGCCCTTCCACTTCCAAATCAGTAACCCTGAATTCGCTTTCCTGCGCTTTGTGGTGTATGAGGAAGACATGTTTAGTGACCAGAACTTCCTGGCTCAGGCTACTTTCCCGGTGAAAGGCCTGAAGACAGGTGAGGACCCTGCCTGTGATCTGGGGTGGGAGGGTGGGGGCCCTTCCTCAGCTCCCTCCCAGGCTGAGGGCCAGGCTTTCCTCCCAGGATACAGAGCAGTGCCTTTGAAGAACAACTACAGTGAGGACCTGGAGTTGGCTTCCCTGCTGGTCAAGGTCGACATTTTCCCTGCCAAGGTAACGGCAGGGGGTGGGACCCTGGCTGGGCGCAGCCTCGCAGGTGCAGGGGAGTCACTGACCTCTGGTGCACTTCCCTCCTGGAAGCAGGAGAACGGTGACCTCAGTCCCTTCAGTGGCATGTCCCTGCGGGAGCGGGGCTCTGATGCCTCGGGCCAGCTGTTCCATGGCCGGGCCCGCGAAGGCTCCTTTGAAGCGCGCTACCAGCAGCCATTTGAAGACTTTCGCATCTCCCAGGAGCATCTCCCAGACAATTTTGACAGCCGGGAGAGAAGGTGAGGGATGGGGGGTGGGTGCCATTATGCATCTCAGCAGAGGGGGTGCTAGAGAGATGGGAAGTGGTTTGGTCAGTCGTCCTTTGATACCCTTTTCTCCTGGGTATAAAAGTTATAATTGTCTGTCCTGGGGCTGGGCTGCAAGGCCCTACTGCCAGTAAGGACACTCGTCCCTTCTGTCCAGGGCCCCACGAAGGACTCGGGTCAACGGAGACAATCGCCTCTAGCTGTGCCCCAGCCTCATGGAGAGCAGCAGGTGCTGCGTGCCTCTTGGAATGCCGTGAACTGGGTTCGTTGGAAGCGGCCTGCCATGGCACCCTTCCTGGTCTCGCAGCCTGGAGCCTGAATTCCAGCAGAGAATGCTAGACAAAAACCAAGCCATTAAGATGTATTCCTGTTTGGGGCCTCCACAGCCCAGCCTGAGTGAAGGCAAAAACTACTGTGTCTCGCATTAAGCACACACATCTGGCCTGACTTCTGGAGGTGGATCCTACCATCTTGTGGGGCCAGGACCATGTCCGAAGCCCCTTGGAGAGAGAGGCTGCCTCAGCTGGCATCACAGGAGGCTCTGAGGAGCAGCAGCAGCCTTGCTGGGCCAGGGAAACCAAGTTTACATTGTCCTGCAGCTTTAAAACCATAGCCGGGCAGGGTGGGGGGTGGATGCCCCCCAGTTTGGCCTTGGAGTTAGGGCACAGGAGCACAGGGCCTGCCCGAGGAGGAGGACACAGCACAAGGGCACATTGCCCATGGCGGGGAACACGACCCAGCCTGAAAGATAAGGGGATCATGTTAAAAGCAGTATTGGGCATCGCAGGCCATGGAAGGTTGCCCTGTGAGGGGCCAGTGGAGGAGGCTGAGCCCCAGGGCACCACTTGAAGCAGGGACAGGCAACGTGTCCCAGAGCCACAGCAGTGCCTCAGGGCCATGGAAGGACAAGGGCCCAGAACTGAGCGCACCACACCACTGGGCTACACTATCTGCCACTGCCCATCACTGAGGACCTGCTTACCAGGTAGACTTGAGGCCTTTGTCGGGATGATTGGCACCAGTGTGGCCAGAATGGAGGAGCAAGTCGCTAAGGCAGAGGCCCAGCTAGGGACTTTGCCCAGCACATTCAGGAAATTCCTGCACACAATTCACATGCCCTCCTTCAACAAGGCTCTCCAGAGGCCCCAATAGATCGGATATGAAACCCCGTCCTGAAGACCACTTTCCCTGTTACAGTGGACGCCCTGGGGTCTGAGTGCCAGCCACCCTGCCAGAGGGCGCTGCCTGGGATGATCTCAAGTGTTCAGTCAACTGAAAACCCTATTATTAGACATACATGATGTTGGAGTATAGAATTTTAAAGTTTATTTTTTGCACACTATTTCTCACTATCTTCATTATTTCACATAGGATGTATGATTCTTCTATGTCTTCCATGTCTAACCTGACAGCTGCTTGGTGAAGGGATTGGGGAAGCCAAGTGAAAGAATTCGGCTGTGCACTGTGGCAGAACTGTTATTTTTATGGGTTTTCCAGCTCAGCTAACAGCGTGACTTTTTCACAATTTATATCTACTCTTAAGAAAAACCACTGAGCCATTAAAGCCTTGCTATTATTTGGTCCCAATATTGATTCAGTTTCCTATAGCTTACTTTTAGGGTAGGTGGTCAATTATTTAACATTATGTTAAACTCTCCTTATCATGAATTGTAAACTGAAGGAAATCATACAATTTCTGAGGAAATGTAGAAAGGAGGACCTCAAATCCTGATTATAGCAAACATGTCTATATATGGTTGCCAACGTTTGGTTTATAATATAAATATTAAAAGTTTTAAATTTTATTGGGAAAGCTTTCCTCCTAAAAAGGACTTTTTAAAAAAGTATTTTTTTTCTCAATGGTGTAACTAACTTACTCCTCCTACTCCTCACCATGGAGAAGCCTCTGCGGAGAGCAGCAGGGGGTGGCCTGCCCTATTGGGGGTTCAGTTTGGGGTGTTAAGGCACTGACAGGAAGGGGGTGGGAAGAGAGGAAATAGCAAAGCTTATTCTGGTGAGGTGGTTTTTTTTTAAGGTGAAAAAGACTTAATGCGCTTTCCCTTAGGACTGGAAGAGGGATCAAGGAGTTGCCTGCCTTGTGGGAGGTCTGGGGACAGGACAGGCAGTCAGGTGCTGAATGAAGCCTCTGAGCTGATGGCAGCTTCTGTCTAGCTGGTTGAAAGGTCCAAGGAAGGAGATGGAAGGCAGCCCCATCCCGAAGGGCAGGTTGGGGCCAGTCCCGAGGGTGCTTAGGTGCCTCACACACGCAACCCCATTGCCTGCATTTGGGCTCAGGTTTAGCCATTGCTAGTTATGCTGCTCTCAAGATCTGACTGCCAAATAAATCATCCTTGTCTCCTTTCTCCTTTAACTTGTGTGTTCTTTTGTGGGCTTAGCAAAGCCAGGTTTCTGGAGGCTTGTTGACAGGGGACAATCTCCTGGTATTTTTTCTGCAGTAGAAGCAGGTGGGAAGTTCCCAGTCAAGCAGAACCTGCCTCCTCTGGGCTACAAGGAGGATGAGGCCACCCTCTCCTCCAGGGTGCCCACCTAGGGTGTTGATGGGTGGAGTTGTGGCCAGCCAGCTATGGCAGTGGGCAGTTCCACAGAAACCTCTCCTTTCAAAAAAGACAGTGTTAAACATAGGGTGCTAGGTGCCGTGCTGGTTGCCTCTGGAGCATGCAACCAAAATCTGCTCAGAATATGGTTGAAAAGGCCCTTTCCCCCCCTTCCCCTCCTGTGGCTGCTTTTATCATGGTCTGTGCTGGTGGGGAGAAAAAATCATACCATACAGAGTGCCTGCCTGCCTGGTGGGTGGATGGGTGGAGACAGGCACATGAAGCCATCCCAGGGAGCCCAAGAAAACCTGTCATCGAAGGGATACAGGTAAGTGTAATTAGTTGGTTCTTAGGATGGTAATTAGCATCCCCTGCTGCAGAGACCAAAGCATGGTTGGTGGCTTTGGACCAAGATTGTTTTAAGACAAGCCCAATGTGGATTTAGAGTTGTAGGTTCAAAACATCCCTTTCCTATTTGACAAGTCAGACCAAAGACGTACATTTCTCAAGTTCACAGATGTGGGGTCAGTCCTGGTTCATTGTAGGCCCCTCTGAGCATCACCCACTTGGAGAACTGGGCTCATCATTTTAACTATTTCCTGTCATTCACTGAACTAGGTATGATAGCCAGTACCCAACTGCCGCTGCTCAGGTTCTTGCTCGCCTACTAGAGCTTCCTGGTACTTCTCAGAGGAAGGAGGGGAGTGAGTGATAGCCCAGAAAGAAGCCCATGCCTTTATGGTCAATATTTGACAAAGGAGGAAAACATACAATGGGGTAAAGACGGTATTCTAGCAATTTTCAACCAGTATGCCACAAGAATTATTTTTAAAATATGCAATACCTGACTATTCAGGGGCACTGACCTCTTCCCTTACATTGTCAAATAAAAAAATGACAACAGCCAACACAATAGCCATCAGGTCTGAATACGCTGCCTTGAACCATAACATATAGCTCATATAATAGATTGCATCTTATTGGTCACATTGCATAAGGTTGCTTCCAATTGGTTAATTCTTAGTACCAGAAATCATATATACAAGTATAGGCACTTGGTTTTTTACAAATTCACTTCAGAGATAAAAGGGTACGTAGTTTGGTAAATCTGTCAAAATTATATCTATATTTTTTTGTCACATCACCAATAAATACATTTTTTGCTATACCACAGAATTTTAGTAATTAGTTTATGTCAGTCATGGGATGGAAAAGTTGAAAATCGCTTGTCTATTCAAAAGAGGTGTTGGGAAAATTGTACAGATACGTACAAAAAAATGAAACTAGACTGCCTTCTTACACTATATGCAAGAATAAACTCCAAATGGATTAAAGACTTAAATGTAAAACTTGAAACCATAAAACTAGAGAAAACAGGCAGTAAAATATCTGACATTTCCGTTAGCAATATTTTTTTCTGACAAATCTCCTCGGCCACAGGAAACAAAAGGAAAAACAAATTGGGACTACATCAAACTAAAAAGTTTTTGCATAGCAAAAGGGAACCATCAACAAAATGAAAAGACAATCCACTGAGTGGTAGAACATAGTCACCAATGATACATCTGATAAGGAATTAACATCCAAAATTTATAAGGACTCATACAACTCAACCTTTTTTAAAAATCCAATTAAAAAATGGGCAGAAAACCCAAATAGACACTTCCCTAAAGAGGACATACAGATGGCCAATAGGCATATAAAAAGATGCTCAACATCTTTTCAGAGAAATGCAAATTAAAAACCACAATAAGATATCGCCTCACCCCTGTCAGAATGGCTAGCATCAATAAGCAAGTGCTGGAGAGGATGTGGAGAAAAAGGGAACCCTAGTGCACTGTTGCGGGGAATGCAGACTGGTGTAGCCACTGTGGAAAGCAGTATGGAGTTTCCTCAAAAAATTAAAAATGGGGAGAACCAAGATGGCGGCATAGGTTAACGCCGGAGTTTGCTGCCTTGAACAACTACTTCAAAAGTGAAACTAAAAGACAGAACGGACATCACCCAGAACCACAGGAACGCTGGCTGAGTGGAAGTCCTACAACTAGGAGGAAAGAGAAACGCATACGGACACTCAGAGGAGGCGCAGTGCTGAAGTCAAATTCTGAGGTGCGGAGTGCACAGAGCGGGCTGGCGGGGGAGGGCGCGGTTGGCGTTTTCAATCGGGAGGGAGTCACAGACTCTGAGCTCCAAATACGGGCGAGTCTTTAGGGACCCAGACTCAAACGGGAGAAGCGGGACTGTCTGGCTTCGGTCAGAGCGAGTGCAGCTTTCTCTCCGAGGTTTGCAGCGGGTGCTGGGACTCAGAGAGACAGAGCCCCTGGGGACAGGACTGAGAGCCGCCATAACTGCTCTCTCCGGCCCACCCTGTTGATCCTGTGCGGCCCGCCCCGCCCAAGCCCTGCACAGAGGCATTTGCCAGATAGCCTCAGGCAAAGGCTAGATTAGCACCTCCCTAGAGGACAGAAGTTCTCTCACTACAGACACAGCTGATTCTCACAGCCACTTGGCCTGGAGGTGAAATCCCCCCTAGTATTAGCTACAACAATCAAGGCTTAACTACAAGACTGCGCACAATGACCACTAGGGGGTGCACCAAGAAAGCATAACAAAATGCGGAGACAAAGAAACAGGACAAAATTGTCAATGGAAGATATAGAGTTCAGAACCACACTTTTAAGGTCTCTCAAGAACTGTTTAGAAGCCGCTGAAAAACTTAATGAGATCTACAAGAAAACTAATGAGACCCTTGATGTTATGTTGGGGGACCAACTAGAAATTAAGCATACACGGACTGAAATAACGAATATTATACACACTCCTGACAGCAGACCAGAGGAGCGCAAGAATCAAGTCAATGATTTGAAATGCGAGGAAGCAAAAAACACCTAACCGGAGGGGCGGAATGAAAAAAGAATCCAAAAATGCGAGGATAGTGTAAGGAGCCTCTGGGACAGCTTCAAGCGTACCAACATCAGAATTATAGGGGTGCCAGAAGATGAGAGAGAGCAAGATATTGAAAACCTATTTGAAGAAATAATGACAGAAAACTTCCCCCACCTGGTGAAAGAAATGGACTTACAGGTCCAAGAAGCGCGGAGGACCCCAAACAAAAGGAATCCAAAGAGGACCACACCAAGACACATCATAATTAAAATGCCAAGAGCAAAAGATAAAGAGAGAATCTTAAAA